TTTCAGAGCTTTTCATTTTTTAGATGGAGTTTCACTCTTTTTGTCCAGACTGGAATGCAAATGGCATGATCCTGGCTCACTGCAAACTCCACCTTCCAGGTTCAAGCAATTCACCTGCCTCAGCCTCCCAAGTAGCTGGGATTACAGGCATGCACCACCACATCCAGCTAATTTTGTATTTTTAGTAGAGACTAGGTTTCACCATGTTGGACAGGCTGGTGTCAAATTCCTGACCTCGTGATCCACCCACCTCGGCCTCCCAAAGTTCTGGGATTAAATGCATGAGCCACCGCACCTGGCCCATATCAAGTTCTTAAAACTGAAGTATAGAAAGTGGAGAAAAAATTGTAACCCTTCCTACACTTTGTTGTGTTTCTGTTGCTGTTTTAAGAGACAAGGACTCCTCTGTTGCCCAGGCTGACATGCAGAGGTGTGATCATATCTCACTGCAACACTAAACTCCTGGGCTAAAGAGATTCTTCCATCTCAGCCAGGCATAGTGGTGCATGCCTGAAGTCCCAGCTACTCAGGAGGCTACAGTGGGAGGAGAGCTCAAATCCAGGAGTTTCAGACTGCAGTGAGCTATAATTGTGCCACTACACTCCAGCCTGGGTGACAGGGCAAAACCTTGTCTTAAAAAAAAAAATTATGTATTAACACGAAATTCTAGATCATCATAATACAGGTTTTCCCCCTTCTTAAGCTATTTGAGGTGGCACTATCTACTTTATTATGGAAACACAAAAATCTTCATTATTTCCAAATATACTACACTTACCAGCTTATTTTCTGGTTGCTGAATAAATTCTTTCAACTGCTTTACAGTAGCCAGTCTTCGGTCTCTGTCGTCTTCCCGGGTGATCCTCCGAAGAAGATTCGACAGTCGAGACTCATCAGAGTAAGACATCGATCGCTCTGTGAATAAACATTTTGTTGTCCACTGAGTATAAACAAGCAAAGAAGTTTTCAAATTTTTTAAATTACATCAGGCAGGGCATGGTGGCTCACACTTGTAATCCCAGCACTTTGGGAGGAGGGTAGATCACCTGAGTTCAGGAGTCTGAGACCAGCCTGGGCAACATAGCCAAACCCTATCTCCACAGACATTACAAAAAAAATACACAAATTAGCCAGGCAAGGTGGTGTGCACCTGTAGTCCCAGCTACTCAGGAGATTGACACAGAAGAATCACTTGAGCCCATGAGGTAGAAGCTAGTGAGCCGAGATCACCCCACTGCACTCCAGCCTGGGTGACACAGCAGGACTCTCTCTCACAAATAAAATTACATCAAAGTCATAGTTTACTAGTCAATAAAAGCTCAGGGGATATAGGTCCTATCACTCTTTTGTTCCTCTCTATATACTAAGTCCCAGCAGAGTGCCTGGCACATAACAGACCCTCAAAAAAATATTCGCTGAAGGATGTAAAAAATGAATCGCCCTAGGCCAACGGAACAGCTCATTCAACAGGACAGGCTGAGAGAGAAAAAAGAAAGGCTTAAGAACAACTTTCTTCGAGTCATTCCAAACTGTTTTCAACATTCAGGTAAAGAGCCTGGGTAGGCCGGGCGCGGTGGCTCAAGCCTGTAATCCCAGCACTGTGGGAGGCCGAGGCGGGTGGATCACGAGGTCAAGAGATCGAGACCATCCTGGTCAACATGGTGAAACCCCGTCT